TGAAAAACATTGTAAACATGGATTTTTAACAATATATTTGGAGAAACTTTGGCAGTTTTAGTCTCTGTCAGGATGATTCATTTACTCTCTCTATCATATAACAAGCAAGAGAGGTTTTTAAAACACTCTTCGTGATGTGAAGAAAAATCTAGAGTTTTGCCGCACTTCTGATAGTATCACACTGTGAGAATACCATTTTGATATCCTTTCACACTGTGTCGGAATATCACTTTTATTTAATAAATAAATTACAGTATTTCACTGTTGAAAATGTAATAAATCAGCTATTCAAATTATAAATTATAAAACTATTAAATCTGTAGAGGTACGAAATGTACAGGCCATACATATGGTAGTAAAGTGCGTAAATAGAATAGAAATTATCTTTACAAGAAGGAGTTTCTGAATGCAACTTTATTTCTTTCTTTTATGGTTTGTCTAAGATTTCTTCTTTTTTGTCTTGATTTATTTTACACGAAACGCTTCGTGATTGTACGAAACGCAGCAAAGTTTATATGCAATGCTACAAAAAACGGTCTCTGAACAGTTCTATTAAGATTTGCGCATGATTTTCACACGCTTGTGCCTCGATTGCAGTCTTTTCTTGGGATTTTCTAGTTTATTAAATCGCCATTAAAATAGAATGGCTGAAAAATTAACAATTGTGATCTTTCAGATCCATTTGAATAACTTAATACTCCAATATTCTACAAAGAGAATACGTATCATTACGGTTGTAAATTATATATGTACTTGACGTTTTGTTGTGATCCGTTTTTCAAAAAGTTTCTTGTTAAAACATTACCATGAAATATGAAAATAACGAACAGAATCAAGCTCAATACTCTATTGGAACAATACATATTGGTAGCAGAGAAAGCACGGACCTAAAAAAAAAACTGCAGATGTGACTCAGGTGCCATGGAGGAGTAAGCATCCCCTGTCGACCGGTCACACCCGCCACGTGCTCCCCCTAACAAAAAAATACTATAGTAAACTATAGTTAACTATAGTTTACTATAGTTAACTATAGTAAATCAAAGTTCCAAAGTTTTCACTATAGTAAATCAAGGTTCCAAAGTTTTTACTATAGTAAATCAAAGTTCCAAAGTTTTTACTATAGTAAATCAAAGTTCCAAAGTTTTCACTATAGTAAATCAAAGTTCCAAAGTTTTCACTATAGTAAATCAAAGTTCCAAAGTTTTTACTATAGTAAATCAAAGTTCCAAAGTTCTTACTATAGTAAATCAAAGTTCCAAAGTTTTCACTATAGTAAATCAAAGTTCCAAAGTTTCTACTAAAGTAAATCAAAGTTCCAAAGTTTTTACTATATAGTTAATTAAAGTTTCAAAGTTTTCCCTATACTTAATCAAAGTTTCAAAGTTTTTTTCATTTGTTTAACAACTTATGTATTTTTATTAATTCTTTTTGATTATTTAGCCGTTTTCGAGGATGGGGTGTTTATGGGGTTGGTTGAGGCTGGTTTTTGTTGTAAATCTTTTTTTAAATAAACAAAGTAGTTAATTCGAATGCAATATTTACATTAATAATTTTTTTTAAAAAATACATGTTGACTGAAGTTGATGAAGCAGATATTTTAATTCTAAATGACACGCTTTTTTATAATATATTATTTTTTCTCCATAAATAAGACTTCCGTGACGTCTGCATAACATTAAAATTAAATACATAGAAATAAATATTGCTTATTTATCGGCGCAAGCGACAAACTTTACATTAAAATCCATATCTTGAACGTAATTCTTTTAGGGGAGGAGTCAGGATTTTAAAATGTTCTCTAACGCTTTCAAGATTTTTTAAACTTCAAATATCATAAAATGTAAAAATGGGAATCAAAAACATAATTCCACGGGATTTATCGTGCTTAATCAAAGTTCCAAAGTTTTCACTATAGTAAATCAAAGTTTCAAAGTTTTCACTATAGTAAATCAAAGTTCCAAAGTTTTTACTATAGTAAATCAAAGTTCCTAAGTTTTCATTATAGTAAATCAAAGTTCCAAAGTTTTTACTATAGTAAATCAAAGTTCCAAAGTTTTCACTATAGTAAATCAAAGTTCCAAAGTTTTTACTATAGTAAATCAAAGTTCCAAAGTTTTTACTTTGGTACTATAGTTAACTATAGTAAACTATAGTTAACTATAGTTTACTATAGTATTTTTTTGTTAGGGCCTTGTCATGATCGGACAAACGGAAAAATCCGTAGACAATTCAGTGTGAAAACAATAGTCTTACAATCTGTGGGGGAAAATTCAGTCATCATTCGACTTAACAATAGATCGTATTTGCTAACAAGGTAATTGTTTTAACCAGGGAATTTGCAAAATGTTGACTTTAAACGGGACTGTTGATATTCTGGTATCAACTTATTTGTCATTAGCTTCCCTCGTTTTAGAAATTTTTCATAAGTACAACATACTCTTATGTATAGAACCAACTGGGAGGCATGAACTCCATATGTAGGTGATAATGGTATGTTGCTGCATAAATAAGGGAAGTTGACGATCTACATCTACAAATGTATCTAGTAATAATTTCCCACTGAAAAAAAACCTTATCATTCGTGATAGTTCACATGTAGCATTGCAAATAATTAAGTAGATTCATTATTACAATTGGTTCTGTAATTATTCAGACTCTTTCATCAATGTTCAAAATATTAAATAAAACATTGTGTTCGTAGCGCACGCATGCCCGACATATTTCTTTTTTTTTCTTTAACTATTTCTTATATATTTCAGGAGTAACTACATATCATTAATATGAAGTTAGTTTCCGTATCTATATTAGAAATAAAATACAGTATATCAACTATTCGCAATTTCTAAAAATATTTAATCTTTATTAACACCAGGAAGACGTTCTCAATGAACAGGATATACATGCAGTAAAGTACACACCAAGAATATCAAGTATCATTATAAGTTTTTGGTTGATTTTTTAAATTTTCTTTTTGATTTTTAGGGGATATTTTGTTTTCTTTCTTCTCTTTTCTTTCTTGGTATGTTCTTTTTTTGTTGTTTATTTATATTTCTTCCTTCATTCTTAATTGTTTTTTGAAAGGGCTTTAAAAATTTATGAAAACGTAAGAGACAAGATTTTATAGTAACCTGTCGTTAAGTCAACATTCTTGCATATGGAGGTATGAGTCTCGTTACAGCGTAGAGGCAGAGGTTCATAAAATCCATTCTGGTTACGGACTCCGATACATACTGAAACGTTCTGTTCAGCACTGCTATCTGGTCGAAATATGTAAAATGTTAAATACGATAGTGTTTAAATGAAATGAAAAATAACGAACAGTCATAAACTTCACAGTTTAAGAAAACAATTCAAAGTGAGAGCAGAGGGGGTGGGGGTGTCATTTGTCATGTGAGTAATTTCAATTTGTTTAACGTTTATCATTTTAAACTCTAAACAATATTAATATTTAGTTTGGCATAATTGTAATGAGGATCTCCTTGGGATCGGACATGTACTTGGTCTGCCCAGGTTTTATAAGAATGAATGTTCTTAACCATACATTCATTTTTATTTTGTTTTTATATATATAACGTTCTTTCATGTATTTTCATTTAATCAAATAACCAGTTAATTAAATTATATACAATGATTTCTTGATTAGAAAAAAAATAGCAAAGGGAAATAACTCTAAACCGTTTCATAATGATCTTATTTAATCTGTTCAGATTTACAATCAGAATTGTAAAAGATAAACAATAATTCAAGAATCTGTGCGATAAGTAAAATGTTTATTATATAATGGATTGCTGAATGACCCTTTCATCTCCTATACTTATTAAATCCCAATTAAAGTAGGAAAACTTAAATAGTTTTCAAAAATGTATAAAGCATAAAATTGAACATTAGAAGGTTCTTAAATATAAATAGGACCTAAGTCAATTGAAAACAGGAAAAAAGTGACTCTGACATTTGAAATATATTCATGATATGAATTCATGAAATATACTTTAAGTAAAAACACAAATTGAATAAAGTAACAAGCGATATTTGAATACAGTTATAGATTAAAATGTTTGACAAAGTTTTAACTGAGAAGTCACAGTGGCATGATATTTTATCTTTGTCCATAATTTAACAACATGACAAATTGTTTAGGCAGAAATAATAATTGGTTAGGTATTATATTACCCTTCTTTATCAGTTTGTAAATAAAATGTCCTGCAATGTTTTAGCTACATTGCTTTAAATACTTTTGACTTTTAGGATATGATCTTAAGGCACTGTAATATAACTCAATCTGTGGAGAATCAAATTCAAATATATGACTTTTTTTTTGAACAGCTATAAAGTTCTTGACCTTTTTTATTTTTGACCATCAATAATAATCATAAGCTAAACAAAATTATAAAAATAAACTACATGTATTTTTTAGGAATGTATTAAATATTATGATGAATCATGGCCTTGACACAACTCCTAGAGCAGAACATATTTTCTTTCTGTTACAATGACGATGATCCTAAAAATACTACCCCTTATTTGTGCACTTTTTCACTTTATCTGTGACTTTAAAGGGGCATAAGCTACACGATACTTCAATTGTTTGAGCACCAGAAGTTACGACACTCAAGTTGAAGAATGGAAAAAATAAACCCTAGACATTTTTATCTTGAAAGGTGATAAAAATGACTTATTTTTTTTTACTGATGGTGATGTGTTTGCAATGCATGTAAGGTATAAAAATACCCATGCAAATCAGAGTTATGGTTTTGGTATGGTATTGTGTACATAAGATGTACGAGATTTCAAGATAATACTGAGTTCGTACCTTTCTTCCAGCTTATAATCAGTCGTCGAACATACGGGGTCCATCTTGAAAGATTGTTATTATATATCTCATTTCGATGCTTTTGTATCCATGTACGCTGTGTAATATCTAACAACGAAATTGTAAAGGTGCATTTCTTCCAATTCAGACATATTGACTAGAAGAGCCATTTGATATCGACATGACAAACCTGCTGAATCACAAGGATACGTCTTATATCCTTCGTTTGTCTTCAGCAGACACTCGCCTAATGTCTCATCTGTGAGGAGAGATTTTTTTCTTAAAACAATAACAACAATAATATATATATATATATATATATATATATATATATATATATATATATATATATATATATATATATATATATATATATATATATATATATATATGCGCAGATTACAAGCTATAATTAAGCACATTTTATACTCTTGGTAACTTGGTAAAATCTTCGTATATGTGAAAAATTTCTAATTAGGAAAATTAGTTAATTATACCTCTTATATCTTACATAGGAATCAAATTAAAAGTAAATAAGATTGAAAGAGAAGTATAATAAAGTAATTTAAATCAATATTTGTATTGGAAGAGTTTTTTTATATATATATTTGGTATTAATCTAACAATTTGGCCATCAAGTGATAAACTTCCTGACATCAATAAAACTGGCATTACCAAAGGTATTTACCCCTTTCCGTTGTGAAGACACGAGGGAAAAAACTCTACAAATATCTTTACAGAGAGCGGCCGAAAATGATGTACATATATAAGTCGTTAAAAGCTCAAAATCAATCAGAACACACGAAGATACCAAACTTCATGCGCTTACAAATCTGATTATGACTTGGTATGTGTTCTTATGCCTATCTTTTTTTTCAGAATAAGAATCCAGCTTTTATTCATGCTTAAAACTGCAATAAAGAGTCTCAAATATACATACTATAGAATTGATATCAGAGGCGTTTTCAGGAGTGAAGTTGACTTAATTTCCCAAGCTTCAAAAGTATTTTACGTACGTTTTGTATGTACGTGTGTTTTGTATCTAAATTTTAGAAGAAATAGCACATTGTTGCTTCGTTTGTATTTGACATGCAGAAAGTCACACTTTACTCATAAATTCACCAAAAATATAACTTAAGAAATGAAGTTGTGCATCAGCATTTTAGGCAAAATAACAATAATTCAGTAAAAAGTGAAAAAGATTATGCTTGAGTAAATGTTCCTGAATCTTGTTAGTAAAAAAAAAAAGAAGTAAAAATCCTTCTTTTTTTAATAAGATGATTAATTTGTATATGTGATAAACTACTTTTTATTTTTTTGTTTATAAATAACGATAGGAAAGAAATTTATGTTGAATTAGTAAAGATTATTTTTGCAATGAATTGCAGCTTTACCTATTTCATTGGTAACTTTGACTTTCCTATACCAGGCAAATACATAACTTCTCGTTCTCTGATCGTCACCAGTTCCGATTATGTCATTCTCGAAGTTTATTGAATTTTGTGAATTGCAGGGCTTGTTTTCAGTGAAATTCAATTTTACTCTTAAATCCTCTCTGCAAACGCAATGCGTTTTCTGCAATAACGTATGAAATCTTGTTTAAGTTTCTTTCACAATGCAAAAGTATCCAAATCGGTATAAACTCTTGCACAATATTTTTTCACCTTGAAAATTTTAATCAAAAGAGAATATCTTTCTCTCCAACTTTTGGTCTCTACCTCGATGATGGAATTAACAAGGGGAATGTGATAGGGTTTTTTGTTACTCCTTCTATATCAGATAATCAGACGAAGGAACAAATGTATTTGAGATATGAAATTGTGCCATGCAAAATCTTAGTGTGTTTCTATGTATTTACTTTTTTATCCTTTGACTGAAGAGGTACACACTAATGTTCCCACTTATGTACACTAGCCACCCGCGTGGCGCAGTGGTTAGAGCGTTTGCTCTAAATTCGCGGAGTAAGAAGTAGATCCTTACGTCGCGGGTTCGAATCCCACCGAGGGACGTTGAGACCAGTCCTTCGGATGAGACTGTATAAACCGAGGTTCTGTGTTGCAGTAGGTGTTGGTACGAAAAAGACCTCTCACTGTTCAATGGCCCTGAATGCCGAGAATAGGTTAAAATTTGCAGCCCTCCACCGGTAAGTGGTGGCGTCTCCATATGAGTGAAAAATTCTCGAGAAGGACGTTAAACAACATACAAAAAAAACTTATATATACTAAGATTCTTAAACATTAAAGAACTCATCTACTTTCCATACAACTCCCCATAAGTGAATTGAAAATTATATCTCTTTAACCTCCTAATAAGAACAGAACTTGTTGAGCGATATTAATGTCTACAAAATAATACACGTTACACTTTCAAAATTTTTTAAGTTGAAGGGGGGGGGGGGGGAAGGGGCGAGGGTAAAGTATGAGATTGGCGATGCACTTTACCAAACATGTATACAAGGTAAAATAATATAAATAAACATCAGGAAAAAGACATATTAAACAACTATCTTCACTTTAGGATTATTGAAAAAAATCAATATTTTCTTAATATAATTTCGCAATGAAAACACAAAGTATTTTACAAAAATTGAAGACAGTGTTACTGGGCTTTACAATTTTTACCTGTGTATATTCAAAAATGGCAAATGTGCCGAAGACCCTAGGGCTGATATTGGTCGAGGGTTAATACAGTGTGTGATACGGAAAAGGGTATGTTTTATTATATTTATTAATACTTAGTAATAATATAGAGCGCACATGTACCTGCACAAATAAAATTGATAATCACTGACTGGCTTAATTACAGTAATGTAAAAGGTGAAGATAAGGAACACCCAAGGATTTTAAAAAACAAACAAACAAACAAACAAAAAACTACAAACAAAACATATCTGTGAACAAAGCATGAACACGGACCCCGGGAAATTCCGGAGGTGGGATTTGGTGCCCAGGAGTAGTAAGTATCCAAAATGCAAAATATACAAATACAATAGACATTTACCAAGTGTGTAAAGTATTCAATATATACATATATGTTTTTGTCATTTGCCTACTGCTACAATTAGGTACATAAAGAGACTTGGCTATACAACGTGGCTATTTGCCACTAACTACCACATGTCCTATAGTCACCCTGGCTCTCTGTGATCACTTGTTCACTGTGATAAAGTATTAAACAACTTTATGCAGTCTCTTGCCAACCATCACTTTACCTCTCAATAACTCTTCAATTGTCACACATGTAAACCTCAGTACATTGGCCCTTTTGCAACATAAATAATCTTTATGTCAATCGTTTATACGTACATTGGCCCTTTGCAACATAAATAATTTTTATGTCAATCGTTTATACTGCTTACAGCAATAATACATAAGGATTTCTTGATTAAAATAATTTAGCCAAGGGGAGTAGCTCTCATTTGCTTCAGTTATTACAATTTTGTACTCTGTTTGACTCCTAGATACCAAGGAGCAAAGAAAAGGCACATTTACTTATGATTATATTTATATATTTACATTTTTATTATTGGATTTAGTTTGTTTGCTTAATACTCAGGGACAGAGAAGAAAATCTTCAAAGCATTAATGCGTTTTTGCTATATAATCACTAGAGTCCCACCCAAATACAAGAAACCCTGACCCAGGGATCATGAAATTCACAATTTCGGAAGAGGCGCTCTTGTTCATTATAACTATGCATTAGGTTTGTTTGCTTAACACCAAGGAGCAGAGGAGTACATTTTCAAAGCTTTATTCATTTTCAGTATATAATAAATAAACATCCCCTCCCAACGGAACCCCTGACACTTGGGCTTTATCTTTCACAATTTTGGAAGAGGCACTCTTCCTCATCCTAACCATGTACTTAATTCTTCCGCTTAATACCTAGGAACTGAGGAGAAAATTTTCAAAGAATTAATCATTTTCACGATATAATCATTAGAGCACTAGAACCCCGAACGCAGGGGCCATGAAATTCATAGCCTTGGAAGAGGCAAGCTTCCTCATTATAACTACGTACTTAGTTCATCGGCTTCATACTCAGGAACAGAGGGGAAGATTTTTCAAGAATGAATGCATTTTCACTTTAAAATCATTAGAGCCCCGCCCTAACATCAGAACCCCTAATCCAGGGGCCATGAAATTTACAATTTTGGAAGAGACGCCCTTTTCCTTCATAACCATGCACTTAGTTTATCGGTTTAACCAGGAGCAGAGGAGAATAATTTCAAATAAATAATGCATTGTACTATATAATCAAGCCCCACTCTTACACCAAAACCCCTGACCCTGGGTCCATGAAATTCAAAATTTTGGAAGAGACACCCTTCTTCATTATAACCAGCACTTAGTTTATCGGTTTAATACCCAGAAGAAGAGAAGATATTCAAAGAAATAATGCACTTTCACTATATGATCTATATAGCCCAGCCCTGGCACCTAAATCCCTGATCCTTGGGCCATGAATTTCACAATTTGGGTAGAGGGCTATATTATTATTACAATCATACCACCAGTTTGACTGCTTGAAGTCCAGGGGAAAAGGAAGATTTTTAAAGATTGCATTAATTTTGGCGGTTCAAACTGCACCCCTCAGGCCCCAGGAGGGGACAGGGACAATGTAATTCACAATTTTTATTCCCCTTCACCCATAGATGCTATATGCCAAAATTGGTTGAAATTGGTTCCGTGGTTTCAGAGAAGAAGCTAAAAATGTTCAAATGAACGACAAACGTCGACGGACAAAAACGGATAGCTAAAGGTCTCCTGAGTGACTCAGGTGATCTCAAAACCCTAACAGTGTGTATGATTTGTTTGTTTGTTTATCGTCCGTTCTAGAATTGTTCACACATATTGAGACTACACCATCTTCCGATGGAGGGCTGCAAATTGGACCTCGGCACTCGCCACTCCGCCACGCTCTCACAACTGCGCCATGCGGGCGACCAATTGATATGAACTACATCGGTCAAAATACGACCAGATGATAGGTTATATCTGCTAACAAAATCATTATAACGGTCATAGAATTTTACGAAATGCTGACTTTAAACGAGGTTGTTGAAATCCAATGTAACATCAACTTATCTGTCAGAAGCCTGCTTTTATAAAAAAATGATCGTACTCAGAGCATGCTGTTGAGTAACGAATAAGTTGGGAAATGTAACCACCATATGCGGGTGATAGCGGAATAGTTAGCCATTTTGCCTATAGTCAGTAAAACATCCTAATATGAAACAGATGTGACAGTATTTTAGTT